ACGTTCTCTTAACTCCAAGTCCTCCAGAGTCGCAGCCAAAGCCGATTCGAAAGACCGCTGCATCTTCATTGTTTTCAAGTAGCAGGGAAATCACCTATGGAAATCACTTGGAACGTCATGAACTGTGCCGTCATTGTGTTAAGCCCGCCTGCCGACTCTATACACGATGTGATTGGCCCGACCAGTTTTTGGTTTTTCCAGCTCAAAAGCCTGTGGAGAGTTGCTAGACCAAACTGGCTGCGTCTAGATTTCTAGGCTACTATAATACATATATATTGCTGCTGTAACAACAAAGGTCACTAGGTATCATTTTTTCCTCCATTGGGGATTCCTATGCTCCATTGGTGACACTTGTTTACTACTTCATCTCACAACACACAAAATTAGATGTTTTATAATTAAAAACATTCTCAGTATATAATTTAAAAAAAATACTTAAACAGTATATAAATTGTTTTTGAACATACGAATAAAACAAAACAAGTACACATATACCGTGGTTATAGAAATCCAAATGAAAAACTGGTCATACAACTGTGTACAACTATTTGCAACTATTCACAACTATTCAGAGCTAAGCACTACAAATTGTTGTTGTGTCCAGCGACTGAAGCAAAATCTCGCTTTGGAACGAAGCAGAGGGGCAAGTCACACACACCGCAGATCCCAGGGGTTTTCTGGTGGCACATTCTGCATCTTCTTCTGACTTTACTGGAAGGTTTTATGTGCTTTGGTGTGTGTCCTGCTGGATGGTGAGAAGCAGGAGCATAAGGAGCATCAAGAGGCGGCACCCAATCAGCGAGCTCCTGTACTAGAGCTTCCCGGAATTCCCTCTGATTTTTTACCCTCTTGCTTTGCATTGCATAGGATAATGAAAGCATTAACCACCGCAGTGTCCACAAAGTGAAAGAAAAGGGAGTGGTACCACTTTCTGTTTTTTCTAAGCACTGAGTAGTACCCGATGAGGGCATGGGACATATCCACTCCTCCCATTTGCCTGTGTAAAAAAAGCATACATAAACAAAAGTCAATACATAAAATATAAACACATCTGCAAAAAATGGAACGAGGAACACATCAATACCTCTCTTGTGTCCTTCCATTGGACAAACAGAAGCTGGTTGTCCCTTTTCCACCTTATGCTTCCCCGGGGTGCATTTTTGGGCAGCTGGTTTAGGGTGGTTTGTGGGAAGCCCACCCTGTTGCTCCTGATGGTCCCACAAGCAGAGATGTTTCTTTGGAGGAGGTCCCTGAAGAGCATCGGGCTGGTGTAGAAGTTATCTACAATTGTAGCCTGACCCCAAGACCTTCTCATCCACCAGAGCCATGACTGATTCGTAGCTCAGACCTTTGTTTTGCTGGCTCTGAGCTACCCCTTCATAGATGAAACAATGCCATGTATAGGCATTCAGGGAGTCTGCAAGGACAAAAAGCTTGTACCCCCACTTTGTCGGTTTGTCTATCTGATATCGAAACAGACAAATCCTTGCCTTTGATGCCACCATTCTTTCGTCAACGGCAATGTTGTGATGTGGGTGATAAAAACTTTTGGTCATTTCTTTTTTTATCAGCAACCAATCGTGAAAGTACAATGGGTATTTAACTCTAAAAGCGAAATCTCATTGGCTGATGTCAAATCTAACAAATCTTTAAAGGCTGTTTTCTCAAAATGATATTTTTTTCTCATACTCTGAGCCAGAAATCTCCAGCAGCACCTCATTAAAGTACACAAGATCCAGGGGGCGGAGTTGGATCCAGATCTAAGGGGTGGAGATGGGTAGGATTAGGGGTGGGTTTAGGGTTCAGGGGGTGAAGATGGGTTGGGTTAGGGTTCAGGGGGTGGAGATGGGTAGGATTAGGGGTGGGTTTAGGGTTCAGGGGGTGAAGATGGGTTGGGTTAGGGGTGGGGTTAGGGATCAGGGGGCGGAGATGGGTAGGTTTAGGTATATGTAAGGTGGGAGGAGTTGGATCTGGATCCAACTCCTCCCCCTGGATTTCGTGTTCTGCAGTGAGGACCATCTCGAAATCTCCACATCAGCAGCACTTACATACACCAAACTTTTGGGTTTAATTTTTTATGGCTGTTGACAGTAAAAAACCTTTGACTCCAATGTGTGAACAAAATGAAATGAATTTTTAATCTGACTTTATTCAATGTTCAGATTTCTCTTCTGGAAATATATGCAAATTAGAGCATAATTAATGAGATAATACCTAATTTGCATATTTAAACAAATATTCTAAAAACTTGTAACACAAAAGATATGTGTCTTAATGTCAGTAATCAACTAGGGGAAGTTTCATGCTGATATCTATTAGTTTTTGTTTTTTTTCTATTCACCTGGGGTGTCTCCCCTTAAAGGACAATTCTGGCGCAAAATGAACCTGGGGTGTAATAATACATGGGTACCGAGTCAACCATTCTCTGGAATGTGTTTTCATGATAATTGAATGTACCCAGTTTTAGCCCGAAATAGGGCTGTCGCGATAACCGCAATACCGCGCTACTGACAGGCCAACCGCAGAGGAATGCAAGTAACCGCAGCAACCGCCAAACCGCGTTTTCTTTTTTCATAAGGCCACCCTTCGTAGTTCGTACCATGTGTATTGAATGTTAAATAAGTTAATAATGATAACAAGACTGTTTATCATGGTGATTTGTACAGAGGCTTCGTGGATTTGGACTTAAGCCTAAACACAGTGAATGAGATCGACTGAGCGCGTGCGATTACCTGCGTCTGTCTTTGAAGTCAAGTCATGTATATTCGTGAAAAGGTTGCCGTTTCCAAGGAAAGCGAAATATTTGTCGTATCATCCTTAACGTGTAAGGGTATTTACCATGAATGGCGTCAGCGCTGGTCAGCATTACACAGCGCGAGGAAGCAGTGGGGGGAAAGCAGCGAGTCACGCATTGGTCTCTATTAAGTGAAGCATTGCTTCAGCTTTGCCCAAAAGTGAAGCATTGCTGGCCAGCTGAGCCTTGAAAAGTGGAGCTCAAATTTAAAAAAAATAATTAACGCCTTGTTTCATTACATCTATCATTTAAGGAATTGGCTTTTTTGAACGTTTTCGTTGAATGAACGGTTTAATGACTCACTCAAAGACAGTCCGTTGGCATAACAATGTAACTGCGCGCTGAGTGACAGTCTTTCAATGCGCAGAGACGCTGTTTAGTTTCGGTTACATTGTTTTTGTGTATGCTGACCACGTCATAACACATATTTATAGCAACAAATAAATATAAATAAATAAATGCCGGTAATACCGCATATCGCGCTATTGAGCCACTCAAAATTACCGCAAGGGAAATTCCTTCACCGCGACAGCCCTAGCTCGAACCACAGATTAGCTTATAACGCTAGTATATAGGGCATCGAATAAGTAAAAAGAAGTTGCTAGTTAAAACCACTAGCAAAGCTCAAAATAGCCCCACACTAGCACGGTAGCATAAGGAGGGTCCCTACATGCAAACCGAAGCATTGAGAACTTTGTAAGTGTACAGACAGTTTAATGAGAAGATACTTTATAAAGACAGTACACTTCGCATATACAGGCAGGAGCCATCTTTGGGAAACAGTCTCGACCAGTTGAACCATGAACGCTGTCCTTGTTTTATTTTTCTTATTTTACTGTCTGTACACTTACAAAGTTCTAAATGCTTCGGTTTGCAGGTAGGGACCCTCATTACGTGTTAGTGTGGGGCTATTTTGAGCCTTGTTAGTGGTATTAACTAGCGATTTTTATTTTTACTTACTCTATGCCCTTTGCCTGTACGTTTGAGCTGCTCGTTCTCAGCCTTGCACCCTTAGCAGTTCAGTATAAAACTGAATGCTGTATAAACGCAGCACAAAATATGGGACTAACAACCGTTTTCTAGTGCTGTGTAAAATTTCACTTTAATAGTCAAATTACTTACACTGCTGTCTCGTAGTTGAGTAGGGGTATCTCTGTAAAAAAACAAAACAAAAAAAAACAACCACGAACTGTACCGTTTTTGCATATATAAAATAGTTAGTTGAAAATAACAACACGTAAAACAGACAGTGTTTGGCTAATGTATGTTTCTGTCGATGGACAGGCATTCTGGCTTCCCAATGCATTACAACAGCGATGATGAAGAAAACGTGGAAAAAACAGTCACTCTTTGTAAACTTTGTTTAATAGGAGTGTCATATGCTCCAATAGATCTCATATATCTAATATAAATCGTCTATGTTGATAGCGGGCAAAAAGCACTGTTTATTTTATTTGTATCTTCGCTCTATTGTATTCATTTGTGCTGTTGCTCCTAGATTGATTATTTGTTCTTATTTTCTTTATTTTTATTTGTCCGTCGTTTTTTCCCTGAACCTAGCACATACCGAACTGTGATAAAAACCGAACTGTGAGAAATTTGAACCGATACACCCCTAGTTTTGAGATATGAGAGCCCTGGGATGTTTTCTTCACAGACGTTGTACTAGATGTTGTGCGATAGAAGTTGTGCGGCTGTTGTATGCCATTTCGGTTTTACAGAGCACCATTTGTGATCCGTGCTGGCAAAATAAGTCACAAGGAGCAAATTTTCTAAAATGATTTTGATTATCGTTCAATTGTTATTGTTTGTACCCTTCAAAATGTAGTAGGATTTGTTGGAATCAGATAAAAAAAAATGACCGAGCTTCACCTGTTTGAAGTCAATATAGTTTTTGAGAAAAATAGTCTTGAGCTTTTTTCCGCTATTTTTGTCTTCCCGGTTTAAAATCTACATCACGTCCACAGAGTACAAAGTAGACTATAACATTTTTATGGACACGTCAGCTTGCTCATCAACGCGGTGCCAAAATAAGCCTCAAGTTACCAAAAATGCAACAGCGTGTTAATATATATGCAGAGAACAAATGTGAATGCCTGTGCATTTATTTGTGCATTAAGTTCTAGCTGTCACAGGATATGTATGTATTTGTGGTGAGCTTAGAAAACCATGTGTATATTGTGTTGCGTGTAATGGTAACTGTAATGCACGGATCTAATATAATGTTACACATCAGATGTTTTTCCCCAACAGTTAACCAAGCGTTCATTTAAGACACAACAGATCATGTTTGCATGAATACTCGCCGAGACAGAAATACTGTAATTCTCAGTGGCGGCTGGTGCTAAAAACAAAGTGAAAATCCAACTGTTAGTAATGAAGGACTGAATGCAATTGTTACATATTTTTAACAGGTGATGATGTATCATTACTGCTTAGCTAAAAATGCAAAAATAAAGGTACCACAAATCAATGAATTTGAGTTTACAATGTCAAACACACATTGTAATGTTGCCCAAACACTGGCCAGTACAGCACTACTTGAAAAGAAATATCGACCTCTGTTCATTTTGGCTAGCAAATTTCTCAATGACCTTCTGGTTAAAGTCAGTTATCTCAGTCACCAGTTTCTTTTCCATTGACAGCATGGCCAATGCATTCAACCTCTCCTGGTTCATGCTGTTTCTCAGAAAAGTCTTAACTCTTTTCGAGGTTGAGAAGCACCTCTTAACTTCTGCTGTTGTCATGGGTGTGGTGATGAGGATCTTTAGGAGAGTAACAGTCTCTGAAAAGATTTCTTCAAGATTGTTCTCAATAAACAGCTGGAGTAGATCCACAGCACCACAACAGGCTCTGAAGTCTTCCTTGCAGTAGATGAGACTAAGCTCTGTCTTCAGCTTACTCCCATTGAGCACTGGATAGGCCTTCAAAGTCTTGTTTAGAGCATCTTCAGGAAACAGCACCATGAACAGTTCAAACCTGTCTCCTTGCAGCAAGGTGGCACTAACAAGGTGGTTTGTGAAGGAGAACCGTTCCATGATGTGTCTCAGTGTGGTATCGCAGACCTACAGTGAAGGATAAAAACAAAAATTATGTAGTGATGACAAAATGTCCATTTCTGCTGCAACATTAGAAATGACCAGTTTAAGATATAAAGGGAGACTAGTTTCGATGTTTGAAGCCATTGTTCTTGGACCCTGATGATTGCCACTTTCGGCTATATTGTAAAATATACAAAATGCTGTGCAACTAGAATAATAAAATACCTTGCTGAACAACAGAGGAAGCTTTCAAAAAGACAATAAACCTTTGCAACAAGTTAAACTGCATTGTTTCATTTACCTTCTGTGGGTACTTGTAATTGTCTTATGTCTTTGATGATTTTACAATATTTTGCTCAAATATTGTGGCAAAGAATAGATCCTTAAGTTAAAGTCACATCTAAATAATAATATATAAACTAATACAAATGTAATTCCTCCAATTGATCCTATATTCATGGCATAGTAACCTTTTGAAAGGTTGGATTCTTAAATTCACTTCCGATTCAATGTATATCTTTTGAGTAATTTATAATCAAGTTAATAATCAATATTTATCCTTCTAAATATTAAATGACTTTTCATCTTAAATCACTAGAGAATAACAACGAATATTGTCTGAACCTCTCACTGAAATCTTATCATTATGTTTTGGGAAAGTTTCCTGTTCAGACCTAGAGCTCGACCAACTCCAACCTTGAAGAAACCGTGTGTGTGTCAGTATCCATAGTTACAGGTCATGACTGTGTGAACAACTGGCATCCAGGCAAGATGAAATGACCATCTTTTAGACAAACTGAAGCCTAAAAAATGCTGATATAAATTAGTGCTGGGCGGTATGACCAAAAATCCATATCAAGGTATTTTTCTGTACATCAACGGTTTCACTGTATATGACGGTATTATTTTTTTCCAAACATGACTGGGTGTTAACCACATTTTCTACTGATTGAGAGGAAATACTGCAGTAGATTGACTTAGAATGCCCTATTTTACTGTCATGAGTGAATATTGTAGAAAAAAAAATCCACACTAGTATTAATACAGGTTTGCAAGGCAATTTTTTAATAGGCAAACCTATTTTTTTAAATCCACTCTGAATTTCACCGGGAGCCAGTGTAGAGATACCAAAACTGGGGAAATATGGTCCTTTTTTCTTAATCCGGTTAACAGCCGGGCTGCAGCATTCTGGGGGAGTTGTAGACAGGATAATGCAGTTTGGGGCAGACCACTATACAATGAGTTGCAATAGTCTAACGTAGATTAAATAAATGAGGGATCACAATTTCCAAGTTAGTATGGGAAAGGAAAGTTTTTATTTTAGCAACTGATCTCAGATGGTAAAAATTACTCTTTACAACAGCACTGATCTGCTTATTGAAAAGTAGAGATGAGACAAAAATCACTCCAAGGTTCCTCGCATGATCTTGCACATTCAACGATAACGGGCCAGCAATTTAAGGCATTCTCAGATGAGCCATTTTTGTCTACTCACAGAGAGAGAGAGAGAGAGAGAGAGAGAGAGACAGAGAGAGAGAGACACAGAGAGAGAGAGACAGAGAGAGAGAGAGACAGAGAGAGAGAGAGAGAGAGAGAGAGAGACAGAGAGAGACAGAGAGAGAGAGAGAGAGAGAGAGAGAGACAGAGAGAGAGAGAGACAGAGAGAGAGAGAGACAGAGAGAGAGAGAGAGAGAGAGAGAGAGAGAGAGAGAGAGAGAGAGAGAGAGAGAGAGAGAGAGAGAGAAATGAACTGGTAAGACTGCAATAGAAGAGTCTCTCTCCTGCCTGCTACTATGGCTACTGGTTAGATCAAAGAATCAAGGTTGCCCCTCGGTAACCACCAGGCAAATCAGAGTATTTGTTTATAAAACAGTCACTTTCCCCTCAGCCTGCTAACACAGTCCACAGTTCATTCTTCAGCAAAAATGGCAAGAAGATATACTGCTCTAGAGACCCTTTCATACTTGCTTCAGGCAAGTGATGAAGAATTTAGTGAACCAGATGACACTTCAGACACAGAGGAAGTTTTGGAGGCTGACACAGATTTCCAGATGACCGAGGATCAGCCATCAGAGGATGATTCAGGGGAGGAAGGCCCTGAGGGAGATCCATCATTCCTATCAAAAAATGGAGAAATACTATGGAGTTCAGCTTCTCCACCACAAACTCCAGGAAGAGCACGAGGAGAGGAGATCATGAGGAAAACACCTGGTCCCACGAGGTATGCCATTTCAAGAGCCGAAGACATCAAATCTTCTTTTGAGTTGTATTTCCCAAGCTCTATTCAGAAAATTTTAGTAAGTATGACAAATATGGAGGGGAATCGAGTTTATGGGGATCAGTGGAGAAACGTTGACTGGCCTGAAATAGAAGCTTACATGGGTCTTCTCATTCTTGCTGGGGTTTCGAAATCACACGGCGAAGCAACACGAAGCCTGTGGCATGGGGAGATGGGAAGAGCAATTTTTCGAGCAACCATGCCTCTGAAAGATTCAGAGTGATCAGATTGTCAGGTGTTATACGTTTTGATGACAAAACCACAAGACCCAAACCCAAAGAAGAGAAGCTGACAAGCTGGCACCCATACGTGAACTGTGGGAAAAATGGGTGGAAAGGCTTCCTATTATGTATAACCCAGACTTGTATGTAACCGTGGATGAGTGCTTGATTGGCTTCAGAGGCCGGTGCCAATTCAAGCAGTATATGCCGAGCAAACCGGCTAGATATGGACTTAAAATCTGGGGAGCCTGTGATGCTAAAAGCAGCTACTGCCACAGTATGCAGGTGTACACAGGCAAACCTCCAGGAGCACAACGTGAGCAAAACCTGGGAAAACGTGTGGTGCATGACATGATACAGGATCTGAAGGGGCACATTGTCACTTGTGACAATTTCTTCACGTCCTATGCTCTTGGCAAAGAGCTCTTGCAAAAAAAAAAAAAAGGATGGTGGGTACTGTGCGCAAAAACAGAGCAGAGCTCCCAAATGCACTGGTGACTACTGGAAACAGGGCTCCTCTATCATCTGTCTTCGCATTCACTGAGACACACACCATCGTGTCATACTGCCCTAAAAAGAAAAAGAACGTCATCCTAATGAGCACCACACACAAGGATGCAGCAATCAGCGAGCGCGAGGACAGAAAACCAGCGATGATTTTAGATTACCACGCCACCAAAGGCGGAGTGGACAATCTAGTATGTGGTACTTTGTATTTGTTCAATGCTAACAATAATTGTACAATAATAACTTATATTCTAAGCTAAATTATAAACTGAACTTGAAATGTATTGGGTAAAAAAGTAAATTGCATTATCAAGTAGATGACCAAACATTTACTAAAATGTTGTACATTTTTGTGTAATATTACAGATTGTTTCAACATACAAATGTGGACGGAAGACAGCTCACTGGCCCATGGCTATCTTTTTCAATATGATTGATGTCTCGGCCTACAACTCTTTGGTTCTGTGGAGGGAGATCAATCCCACCTGGGGACAGGCAAAAGGAGGAGCTGGGGAAAGCGCTGGTGTAACCCTTTATGCAAAGGCGACAAAACATTCCACGCACACCAGCCTCTGTGAGCTTCCTGAAAAAGGTCCAGGATACCAGAGATGAGGAAGCTGGTCCCTCATCTGCCGGTGCGTGCACACAACCTCCCCAAAAGAAAAAAAGGTGCCAATTGTGCAGTAGGGCTTTGACTCCGAACTTCGTTATTCGAATATAATTTGAATATATATTTTAAAAAAAGATATTCGAACGAATACTAGGCAGCCTTTAATATTAGAATATGTTATGTGAATTTATTTATTTTTGTAAATGGGTTTGCTTGAAACGTTGTTTTCAATTCAAATTCCGAGGATTTTCACGCCTGGTGAAGTTGTAAATCGCAAGTTCATTAACAAGGCTATTAATGGTCATCTGGGCCAACGTTAGCATAGCGTCGTCATAGGTGACGTTAATGTCATGGTTACTAAGCGCGCCTATTCTGTAAACAAAAACAATGGCAGCGCCAGCACCTACAAACACGCCTGAGGAGTTCGAAATATACACTCCTGAAAATCTAAAAAGCAACTACTTTGGGTTCCCAAAAAAGGGAAACATCACGAGCAAAGACAAAGTGGTGTGTAAAGTGTGTAGGACCAAACTAACCTACCACGCAACGACCAGCAATATGAGAGCCCACCTGTTAACACTACATCCCAGGAAGCTGGAAGAGGAGTCGGGATCGGGGGCGAGGCAGGCCAGAATCGACTCCATGCTGCTATCTCCTTCACGAGGCCTCCCATATGCCCGTCAAAATAGAGCGACAGATTTGCTCACACGGTTCGTTTGTGAAGATATGAGGCCCATTAACGTTATATATGGGAGCGGGTTTCAAGCTTTCGTCCATGAGCTAGAGGCAAGATTCAAGATCCCTTGCTACAGAACCATGAATGGTAAAATAACGCTATTATACAACACAACCAAAGGTGGCATAAGGGAAATGCTGCGTGGAGAAAAACTCGCACTGACCACTGATGGGTGGAGTTCTTTGGCTACCGAGTCCTATGTTACGGTCACAGCCCATTTCATCGACGAAGACTGGGAGATGAGAAATGTTATCCTGGACACGTCTGAGCTTCAAACCGCTCATACAGCAGCGAATGTTTCCACATGCATCGACAGTATTCTACGAGAGTACCAAGTGGAGCAGGAGTCTGTGCTTGCCATCACAACAGACAATGCAGCCAACTATGTCAATGCTGTAGAGAGGTACTTGGGGATCACGGATATCCTGTGCATGGCTCACACAATTAACCTGGCAGTGAGAAAGGGGCTTGGAGAGCGTTCCGTTGCAACAACAGTCAGTCGCCTGAAGGCTGCCGCTCAGCATTTCAAGCACTCCCCTACAGACAGAGTATCCTAGAGTCCAAGCAGAAGCTCCTTGGTCTCAAACCAGTGCAGCTCATCAACGATTGCCCCACCTGCTGGAACAGTACCTACGATATGATCTGTTGGGCAGCTGATCAACAAGCCCCAGT